TATAGAAAAAAATTCTTCAGGTCCCTGAGAACACGTTTTTCTATAGAAAAGAATTCCTCAGGTCCCTGAGGACACTTTTTTCTATAGAAAAAAATTCCACAGGTCCCTGTGGACACTTTTTTCTATAGAAAAAAATTCCACAGGTCCCTGTGGACACTTTTTTCTATAGAAAAAAATTCCACAGGTCCCTGTGGACACTTTTTTCTATAGAAAAAAATTCTACAGGTCCCTGTGGACACTTTTTTCTATAGAAAAAAATTCCACAGGTCCCTGTGGACACTTTTTTCTATAGAAAAAAATTCCACAGGTCCCTGTGGACACTTTTTGCTATAGAAAAAAATTCCACAGGTCCCTGTGGACACTTTTTTCTATAGAAAAAAATTCCACAGGTCCCTTTGGACACTTTTTTCTATAGAAAAAAATTCCACAGGTCCCTGTGGACACTTTTTTCTATAGAAAAAAATTCCACAGGTCACTGTGGACACTTTTTTCTATAGAAAAAAATTCCACAGGTCCCTGTGGACACTTTTTTCTATAGAAAAAAATTCCTCAGCTCCCTGAGGACACTTTTTTCTATAGAAAAAAATTCCTCAGCTCCCTGAGGACACTTTTTTCTATAGAAAAAAATTCCTCAGGTTCCTGAGGACACTTTTTTCTATAGAAAAAAATTCCTCAGGTCACTGAGGACACTTTTTTCTATAGAAAAAAATTCCTCAGGTCACTGAGGACACTTTTTTCTATAGAAAAAAATTCCTCAGGTCACTGAGGACACTTTTTTCTATAGAAAAAAATTCCTCAGGTCACTGAGGACACTTTTTTCTATAGAAAAAAATTCCTCAGGTCACTGAGGACACTTTTTTCTATAGAAAAAAATTCCTCAGGTCACTGAGGACACTTTTTTCTATAGAAAAAAATTCCTCAGGTCACTGAGGACACTTTTTTCTATAGAAAAAAATTCCTCAGTTCCCAGAGAACATATTTTTGTATAGTTCCCTGAGGACCTCAGGTCCCTAAGGACTTCCTCCTTAAAGAGTTTTTTAACATAATGAACATAAAATGTTTAAAGTTCTAACAGAGAAGTTGGAAGAGCTACCAAATGAAAGATCAGATTGCCTTACAGAGGGAGAGAATGAATAATCAGTGAGAGAAATACATATTTGGGGCGTATACATATCGTCAGTAATGATACGCCACCTGGAATCTTTCTAAAATACCATAAATTAGAAAGCTTCAAACAAGATTTCAGATTCAATTTTTTTAACTATTTATACGACATAGCTGCTTCTCAGGACTATAACTAAAAAAAATTATAGGGGTTCTTTTATCGATCCGAATGGGCCAAAAATTAGCCAAATTTTACAAATTTGAGAAAGGGGTCTTTCTTGTCTTGTAATTTTCAAAGACCTCGATACGAATCACTCCACCCAAAAAATTATTTGGAAATGTTTTCATTTTTTACACTTCTTCCCATTTTAAATCGGCCATCTCACTTATTTAAATACGGCCACCTTCCTGTGCAACCCAAACAGGCGTAACCCCTCACATACTTGGCAAATATCTGCTAACTGGTATTTAGCTTGAATTTCATGAGCTCTAAGAAAACTACATCATTGAAGAAAGCCATTTCGAAATATATTTCAATTTCTTTTATGACAGTTTATTTGCGATTTCATTTGCCCGTACGCTTCTCCATTCATTCGTTTGCCCGTTCGCCCATTTCGTATTCCAGCGGGAGATGTTACTGCAAATGGTGTCATTGGATTGCAAGCAATAACTTTTGTCTCGTTGCATTTCCTCTTTTTCCGCTTTTCCACTCTTCTGTTTCGTTTTCCAACTTTGATAATCATAAAAATTAATTTTCAAATAAAACTTCAAATCCCACGACACGACGATGCGAAGAGGAAAAACGGCTCCCATTGACGTCATAGTTGGGCGATAAAAGAAAATAAAATTGCAAAAGATTGTCTTTTTCTGAAATTCTCAAGTTGAATAGATGATTTACTTATCATTTGATTGGATTACTTCAAGATGATCGATGTTTTGAACTAGTTACAAGAAATTATTAGACGCGATGGCTATTGGGGCGTATACGTGGCGACAGCACTCATACGCCAACAACATCAATGAGAAAATGTAACATTTAGGTAATACTACTGAAAGTTCAAAGCTCCTTGTGGAACCAATGAAACATAGGAGCTTCCTTCACCGGACTCAAGCCAATTATTCATTTTAATTTTATTAATTCTTTTTTTTTTTTTTTTTTTTTTTTTTTTGCATAAAAACTGTAATGCTTTCAGCTTCAGAGCACCGCTAAAGACATACAAGTTTAGTTCCAAGGTCCAGAAAAAATACAAAAATCGGTAAAACATTTATTCACAACTAGAGGAAATGTAGGTTAGAGATTGAGATTTTCCTCGTAGGACTCCACGTCGTATTCGTGTGAAGAGCAATCATACGCCACCAATTCCTATGTCAAAGGAAAGCCTTGAATTGATTTCTTTTAATTTTATCAATATCCTCTTGACAAATTTTGTGTAATTATTCCAGGCTCCTCCTATAGCCATACAATAGGTGTTTACCCCTAAATCTCAGTTCAGAACATTTAAAAAAACTAAAACACCATTTCGCAGCGTATACATACTGACGATAATCATACGCCCCCAGTGCCTTATCTATAGACAAACAAGTCGGATACAAAAATTTACGGAGAAAAGTTTCCACTAAAAGAAGTCCAGAAGAGGTTACTGAAACTCTTTCAATGAACTCCAAGACGTATACGTATTAACTGCATCATACCCCACCAACTCCCATGTCAACGGAAAGCCTTGACTTTTTTTAATTTTATTGATTCTCTTTTGACAAAATGTGTGTATTTATTGCAGGCTCTGATCCCCCTGTAGCCATACAATAGGAATTCACCTTTAAATCTTAGTTCAGAAAACTTAAAAAAAACCAAAACGCCATTTCACTGTGTATACATGCTGACAACAATTATTCGCCCTCAATACCCTATTTTTTTATCAAACAAGTCGGATATAGAAAAGTTTCCACTAACAGAAGTTTAGAAAGGGTTAGATATTGAGGTTCCTTCAACGGACTTCATAACGTATACGTATTGGCAACAATCATACGCCACCAACTCCCATGTCAAAGGAAAGCCTTGAATTGATTGATTGATTTTTTTTTTAATGTTATTGACACTCTTTTGACAAAATGTGTGTATTTATTGCAGGCTCTGATCCCCCTATAGCCATACAATAGGAGTTCACCTCTAAATCACAGTTCAGAAAAATTAAAAAAAAAACTAAAACACAATTTCGCAGCGTATACATGCTGACGATAATCATACGCCCTCTATGCCATATTTATGCCAAGTCGGATATAAAAAATTATGGAGAAAAGTTTCCACAAACAGAAGTCTAGAAAGGTTTAGAGATTGAGGTAACTTCAAGGGGTTTCATGACGTATACGTATTGACAACAATCATACGCCACCAATTCTCATGTCAAAGGAAAGCCTTGAATTGATATTTTCTTTTTAAATTTTATTAATTCTTCTTATTTTACCCTCCACCATACCATACGAATTGCGATAGAAGGCTAACATTTTGCACACATGTTTATTTTTCCAGCAGGTAGGCTAAGTTCGCAAATGGGCCATGTAGGTCCATGTTTTCATACCAGTACCACCCGATATACGGTATTTTAACGATTTTAGCGCCATAATTCACCGGAATTGTTTCAAATTTGGTATTTGAAGTTCGTAATGGATACTACAGCCTAAGGCAGAAAATTGTCTGTGCACGTCGACGTCTTCGTATAGCCCCCATATAACGGTACCACCTGATATTCGGTATTTTGATGATTTCAGCGACATTATTTACCGGAATTGTTTCAAATTTGGTATTTGAAATTCGTAATGAATACTCCAGCCTAAGACAGAAAATTGTCTGTGCAGGTCCACGTCTTTGTATAGCCCCCATATAACCGTACCAACCAATATTCGGCATTTTAATGATTTTAGCGACATTATTCACCGGAATTTTTTCAAATTTTATATTTGAAGTTCGAAATGGATACTACAGCCTAAGACAGAAAATTGTCTATGCAGGTCCATGTCTTCGTATAGGCCCCATATATCAGTATCTCCCTATATTCGGTATTTTGACGATTTTAGATACAACACCCACCGAGATTGTTTGAGATGTCGTATCTGAAGTTCGTAATGGATGCTACAGTCTGTGACGGAAAATTGTCTATGCTGGCCCAGGTCTTTGCACAGCTCCGATATAACGGTACCTCCCTATATATACGATATTTTGATGATTTTAGCTACATTATTCACCGTTTATTTCAAGTTTCCAATTTGAATATGGTAATGGCTTATGACAAACAATAGCTATGTAGGTCCACATCGTATAGACCCCAATATAACGGCTATATTCGGTATTTGTAAATTTTTAACCGAATTTTTTTAAGAAAAAAACCAAATACCCTTGCAGAGCGTATACATGCTGGCGACAATCATACGCCCTCAGTAACCTATTTATAATAAATCAATTCGGATATAAGAATTTTGTGGAGAAAGTTTTCCAATTGAAGAAGCCTAGAAAGGGTTAGGACGACGTATTCGTGTTGACAGCACACATACGTCACCAATTCCAATGGCATAATACAACTTTTCACAGCGTACAGATACTAACGAAATCATAAGCCTCGCAATATCCTATTTTAAACCGAAATTATCAGAATTATAGACTTGGGTTTCTGATTCAGAGAGATATGAAAACATAAATATTGCAGTTTTTACACTAGACTCCACGGCGTATACGTGCTGACAGCAATCATACGCCACCAACTCTCATATCCAAACCAGTTTTTTGGGTGTTTTAGTATTTTTTTTTTTTTTTTAATTTTATTATTTTTTAATTTATTTTATTTATTTTTCGATAATTTTTTAAACACATTCCTTTAAATTATCTCCAAAGAAATCAGTATTCATATTTTTTTATTTATTTTTTTTAATTTGCAAAATATTCCTTCCCTACCAAATCCTGCACTTACTCTCCGGATTCAATGGCGTCATCTCCTCACATTTATAGACATCGGCAAATTCCATAAAATTCCCCAACACATTATTCACCCGCTCCTGATGACTGGCATGTATACGGAAACTACCCTCCCCACCTGTGGCGCCGCTCCCGCCTCCTCCTGTGCCACACCATGTCTGGGCGAAACTTAGGAAAAATAATTTCAAATCATTTTGATCGAATGACTGATCCATTTCATAGTCCAGCAAAGTTTCCAAGGCCAAACGCAGGCCCTCCGAGTCGGCAATATTTTCATTGATCGTCGAATGGCCATCGGCATAACGATCGGCCAGATAGCAATTCGATTGCACTCCAAATTTGATAATGGCCTTGGGACCCCAGCCGTTATTGGTGTTGCCATATTTGCCATAATTCATGCCATCATAATCGAAGCCATGCAACAATTCATGGGCTAGGATGTAAACAAAACCGCCATAGATTTTGGCCGGTTTCAGGCAGCGATCATAGAGCGGTGCCGTGAGAATTCCAATTGGCAATTCAATGGCATTTTTCTTCAGGCGATAATAGGCATTCACATCCAATGGGCCATAGGACTGATCGAAATACAAAGAGGACAAGGATAGCTCCGGATCCATTTTTATTTCCATTACATCGCTGACCATATGGGGTATTAGCTGTTGTAGTTGTTGCTGATTTTTAAACTTCTTCAGGGCAATTAAATTTAAATCATAATTTTCTGTGATTTCCAAGGACTTTGACCCAATACTGGAGTTGCCCTCCAATTTGGGTAACAGCAAACGCATGTTGCGTATCTTTTCTATGCTTAGATTTTTCGAATAAACATCCCGCTCAAACACCACCGTGGAATTGATCATTTTTTCAAACTGTACTTTCAGTTTGCTGAAGATCTCCTCCAAATGCCGCTGGGTTTCCGTGAGAAACTCCTCTTCATCATAGCCATGCTGAAGCCTCAAGAAAATCCTGGACAACTCCGAGGGCATGAAATCATTGACCTGTCGCAGGCATTCTTCCTTTTGCTTAAAATACCCCTCATCGTCGTGGAGATTAACCTCGAAATTCACCAAAAATTGGACCATAAAATATTTGGCAATGGTTTCGATTTTGGTTTTGTCCAGCAGTGGCACCAGGCTCCTTAGGTAATTTTTATCGGCCACTATCAGCATTTTGCTGGCAAAGTTGGGGGGCAGTTGGAAATCTTGCAGCAAAGTTTTGAAATACTTCATCAAATCCACCTGGGGCAATTCTCTGGCCAGGGATGCCAAACTTTGAGGCTCCTTCAGAATCATGACATCCTTGTTGTTGACCAAGGCCAGAAGGGACTGTTCAAATTGCACCACTTCTCGGGCAATTAAATTTGATTTTCTCACCCTCACCCCCAGGTCCATCATGAGCATTTTAATGTAACGCTCATAGAAGAACACCGACTCCTCATCATAGCTGCTGTCCGACTGGCGGGCCTTGAGCAGCTCAAAAGAGGGTGGCATTAAATAGACAATCAATTGTTGGGAACTCTGCCAATTGGGTTGGACCAAAGTCCTTATCAAAGTCTGGCTGCCGTAACGCCTCATCTGCCCGGCCACATATTCCCAGTTGAAATTATTCGCCACCCGACTAGAGGAAAAATTGCTGTGCAGCACAGGCCAACTGGAGCTGAAATTTCCCAAGACATCGGTGTACAAACGTATGGCCAGCTCATCTTGGGTGCGGGAACGTAGAATCCTCTTGTCCAGACAGGATTTATAAAATTTCACCACACTTTGTTCCACCGTATCGTGGTGAGGATCTGCCTGCCGTTTTTCTGTTTCATCGAAATACTGCATGAGTAGATTTTTATTTTGGGCCTTTATCGCTGTCAGGGTATCTGTGGGTTTCATGAACCTCAGCTGATGTGGCACCCGCCAATTGCCACAGGCATAATCCCAAAAATCTTCACAGGGTTTTTCCAGCAAATCCATGTAGTCCTCCATTTGGCGTTTCACACCCGGCCAATGGCTGGCATTGCAGTGCAGGGGATGTTCTTTTAAAGGTGGTAGTGTTGTGGGTACAGCATGGATCTCCAGGAAGACTAGGGAAATTGTTATGTATTCCAAAATCTGCCTCAACGTTGAAGACATTATTCTTAATTATTCTTTTTTTTAAATCCGCAAATATTTCACTTGGAACCTCTCGCTGGCCTGAATTTCGTAAAACTAAATCAGCATCCCGAGTTCCGAGAAGATCATTGAGCGTATACAGATTCATCTCATCTCCCTCTCTTTTTCAATTGTTTAACTGATAAGCCCCATAATTTTTTGCAATACCCAGTTCAATTCCAATCAATGGCTATTGTTTTTTTCTCGCTGTAAGCTGATTTGCGTTGTAATTTCCATTATTTAAAAAAAAAATACAAAACACAAATTTATTTCGAGAAGATAACACCGTGTTTGTGAGCTCTCACTTCACACAGAAAAACACTTAAAAATGGAGAGCATTTTGAGGAGGCCATTGATTGACGAGCTATGTGACTGGCTGGCTGGCCAGCTGACTGACTGAAGTGAGAAGTTCAATCGCCGCTCATTGAAATACTAGATGACAGATTGTGTCATTTTGAGAACTGATAAGATCTAATAGAGGGGTATTATGGGAATCACAGTGTTTTGGAAACCGAAGGAAAAAATATTTGAAAAAAAAAATGTTTCTCGGAAGAAATTCTCGGATATTAACAACGTTTACATACCACCAAAAATAATGTATTTGAGCTCAAATCCACCTTTTCTTAGCCTATAAAATTTTTTTCCTTCAAAAAATCTGTTTCCATTTTATTTTCAAAACATCGCTACAAAAAGTATTCATGGCGTATACTTACTGACAACATTCATACGCCACTCAAAGTCATATTAAATACCAAATATCCCTTTAATTGGTAATAAATTCAATCCATTCATATATATCCACGTCTAAGGACCTCAAAATCCTTAAAAAATTATAAAAATGCATGTTTATGGGCCTCCTATTCCTTAAAAAAATCTCAAAATATCCATTCTTCTCTAAAAAATGATAGAAAATCTCGCTTAAGCAAACTGAACAATTTTTTTTTAAATCCACACCTTTTCCTATGTTCTGATCATTTTTACCTTTATAAAAAAATGTCAAAGGTTATTAAAAAAAATTGTTCATGGCGTATACTCACTGACGACATACATACGCCTCTTAATATAATATTAAATACCAAATAACTCCTTTAATGGCAATAAATTCAAATAAATATAAATATCCACGTCTAAGGACCTCAAAATCCAGAAAAATTTATAAAAAATCATGTTTAAGGGCCTCCTAATCCTTAAAAAATAAAAAAAATATCCACTCTCCTCAAAGAAAATGTTCGAAAATCTCTCTTAAGCCAACTGAACAATTTTATTTTTAAATCCATACTTTTCCTAGGTTCTGGTCATTTTTACCTTCATAAAAAAATATCAAAGGTTACTAAAAAAATTGTTTATGTCGTATACTTACTGACAACATTCATACGCCACTCTATATTATATTAAATATCAAATACGTCTTTTATTGACAATAAATTCAATCCATTCATAAATATCCACGTCTAAGGACCTCCAAATCCTTAAAAAAATGATAAGAACTCCAGCTTAAGGGTCTCTTATCCCTTAAAAAAATATCTAAATATTCACTCTTCTCTAAGAAAACGTTCGAAAATTTTAGCCCAATGAACAATTTTTTTAAATCCATACTTTTACTAGGTTCCGATCATTTTTACATTTTTAAAAAAAATTCAAAGGTTATTAAAAAAATTGTTTATGGCGCATACATACGCCACCCAACGTCTCTATTATTGGCAATAAATGCAATTATTAATTGTTTCGTTGGGATATAGGGAACAAACAATTTAAAAAAAATAAATATCCACGTCTAAGGACCTTTAAATTCTTAAAAAAAATAATAACAATGAAAAAGGTAGCTTTAATACCCTCCAAAAAATTCATTCTATTCATAAATATTCACATCCAAGGACCTTCAAATCCTTAAAAAAATATTAAAAACTCCAGCTTAAGAGCCTCCTATTCCTTAAAAAAAATATCTAAATATCCACTCTCCTCTAAGAAAATGATCGAAAATCTCGCTTAAGCAAACTGAACAATTTTTTTCTAAGTTCTGATAATTTTTACGAAAAAATATTCAAGGGTTATTAAAAAAATTGTTCATGGCGTATACTCACTGACGACAAACATACGTCACCCAACATCTATGTTGTTGGCAATAAATTCTATTATTAATTGTTTCACAGGGATCCACGTCTAAGGACCTTTAAATTCCTAAAAAAATAATAACAATGAAAAAGGCAGCTAAGTTCGGCTGGGCCATCATTTGAAAGGATCTTTAAAAAGATAAAAAAAAATCCGAAAACTCCCACTTAAATGAAAACCGTTATATGGGCTTTACCAAATTTTTTGTCATAGCCTGTAGTACCTATTACGAACTTTAAATATGAAATTTCGAAGTCGTGTACCTGCATACAAAAACTTTTATCATAGGCTGTAGTACCCATTACGAACTTCAGGAGTAGGAGGTAATGGGTTGGGACCATACCTACCAGCTAACTCGGTCGTCTCTCTAGGTATGGTCCCAACCCATCACCCCCTACTCCTGACATGAAATTTGAAATAATTCCAATAAATCATGAAAAAATCATGAAAATAGCGAATATAGGGAGGTACCGTCATATGGAGGCTATACGAAGTCGTGGACATGCATAAAATTTGTGACAATTCCAATAAATAATGTTGCTAAAATACCGAGTAACTGGAGGTATCGTTATATTGGGGTCTATACGAAGACGTGGACCTGCATACACATTTTTTGCCCAAGGTTGTAGTAACAATTAAGATCTTCCAATACGAAATTTGAAACAGTTCCGTTGAATAATGTTGCTGAAATCATCAAAATACCGAATATATACGGAGGTACCCTTATATGTGGGCGATACGAAGACGTGGACCTGCATACGAAAATTTTAGGCATAACTGTAGCACCCTTTACAAATTTCGAATGCGAAATTTGAAACGAATCGGGTTAATAATGTCGCTAAAATCATTAAAATACCGAATATTGGGAGGTACCGTTATATGGGAGCTATATGAAAACGTTGACCTATATGACCCATTTACGAACTTAACCTGCCTACTGGCAAAACACACATGTGTTGAAAATTTTAGCTACCTATCTTAATTCGTTCGAAAGATAGCGTGATTACAACAGACTGACACATAGACAGACGGACATCGCTAAAATATTTAAGAATTTTACACTGATCCAGAATATATATACCTTGTAAGGTCTTTCATCAATATTTCGAGAAGTTACAAACGGTATAACAAAGGTAAAATACCCTCCATAGAATGATGGAGGGTATAAAAATGGGTTTTCTCTCAAAGTCCCATGAGACGTATACGTTGCGTCAACACTCATACGCCCCATTGTCTCACAAATCAAAATTGCTGCAGTTTTAAACATAAAATCCTTTTTCTCATTTTTCTTCAGCGACTGATAAGACAAGCATCTACTTTTCTCTATGAAATCTTTAATTTCCTCTTTGTCATAAAACAATACATATTTATACAAAAAAAAAAACTATATGACATATAATCTGTATCCTATTGCTTTCAATGCTTCCATATAATCCCTGCAGCTATCAAATAATAACATATGGCCACTAAACATGTTATTGTGTGCGTGTGTTTGTGACAAATTTCCTTCAGGGCGGGAGGAATTCTTTGAAACTTCTTTGTTATGCAAAACTATTTGCGTGGCCAAGAAAGAAATGGCCAGAGTGAGAGATTCTTAAAATGGCATGTAGTTGGAATGCTATGTGCATTTGCTTGCTAGGAGGATGTGGATAAAGATAGCATAACCATTTCCTGGATTCGTTTGGAAAAAAACGTATTTTCAAAGGAATTGGAAGATGTGCAGCTTCAATGGATTCCACATAAAACAAATGTTGGTATAAGCTTGACAAGAAAGAAGAAGGAAGAGCAAAAAGGAAGAAGGAAGCAAATCTCTTTTCCCATAATTGCATTTTTTATAACTCAATTGCCTTAATTTTTTTCTTGAGAAAATTTCCAAGTGACAAGTTTTTCCTTCCAAAAATAATTTCTTATTTTGTCTCAAATATTTAGAATTAAATTCTATTTCCAAAAATATTTATTTCAAATATTTTTTATTTGCTTGCCATCCTCCAGCTTCATTTGACCACAAACATTTTTAATTAACTCTCTTGGCAATCAATGCAAATAACAGCAACACCAACAAATCTAAATGAAAACTATTTCTCCTCTCCGGTCGAACTCTTGAATTGCCCTTTTAATGGATTTTCTTTTATTTGACTCATCATCATTGCCATGAACCGTATCCCCCCCAACATGTTTTATCCTGTTAATTCTCTGTACGGGTGTGTGTGCTTCCTTTTGTATTATCGCACATAATTTAGCTAATTTCTATCACCACAAAGCTGCTTAAGTTTAAAACCCTACCCTACCCCCCACCACTTCGTTGCGAAAATTGTTAAAACTGGAAAAAGTTTATGCTGGCTGGGCTGGGAGGAAAAGGAACATATTAAATGAAATCTCATTATTGGCACACGATGGATGACGCCGTGGATGAGGGAGGATAAAAATATATATTTTTGCCACTTTAAAATTTAAATGTCACTTTTTAAACAATGTTGTAGGTGGCGTATAAGTGATGATAATAATTATACGCCCTGGGGTATAAATGGAAAGAAGCAGATAATGTCTTAGGTACATATTTTTTGATAACAATTATTGTTGTAAATTTAAAAATATACTTAAAAGACAAACCTTCTGGTTTGCGTACAAAAAAAAATATCCATTTTCAATGTCTGATATGTCTTAGAAAAATGCTTAAAATCCATAATCCATGATTCGATACATATTCCATATTTCTTAGAAAAATGCTTATTTTTTTGCTAGTTTTGAGTAAAAACTTCGAAACCGATACTAAAACAACCAATACTATGAATGGCGTATAAGTGTTGGCAATAATAATACGCCCCAGGGCATGCAAGAAAAATAATGCAAAATGTACTAAATAATCTCTATTTCAGATAGGGTTAGGAACTTTTTAACACGGAAAATCCATTCAAAATACCTAACTTACCTAAAAAATATAAAATTCCGTTAA